AGAAGAATTTGCATTCTTGGAACTGAATAATTCATGGCATCATTTTGTGGAATATGTAGCCAACCACACATACAGGCTGTGTATGCACCTTTAATTTTTTAATTATAGCTCCTGATAATAGAAGAGATGATGATTTGAGATGTGCTTACTGACCCAAATGCACAGTCCTTTAATTTAATTGTTGCTTATGTCATTGTGATAGATATTTTAATACATTCGTTTTCTAGTTTTGCAATCAAGGCCGCAGTTTATTTCCAGGACCTTCGAAAGACAAAGCCGTTCTCCAACACAAATTGAGATCCCCTTATTAAAATTGCAACATATTTCTGGTTTACTTGCATCTTATTATGAAACTTGCAGCATTTCCAACTTTGATGGTTGAACTGTTGGCATCATATTGAAACACACACACACGCACACACACACGCGCGCACCCTGAATAATTATGTAATGCTGCAGGGAGGGACTGTGTTGAATCCTGGCCACCACATTCACACGGAAACTGTGCTGCCCTAAAGAAACTTGCAGATCCTCATCAACAAGAACTAAGCAGGAAATAACAATACTGATAGTTTAAATAAAAATCCAGATGCATACACAAAAAAAAAGTTCATTCAAGGTGAAGTAAAATGTCACATCCTATTTCTTTTGTTGTATTACTGTATCTTCACTCCGTGATCTAGTATATGAAAAGTAAGTTCTAGTAGGACCGTAAATGTCAGAAAAGGTTTGAGTTAATTTAGCAGAAACTGAAAAACATTGAAAAATATATATATATTTTAATCAGAACTGCGATTATATTCACACAGAGTTGCAAAATCAGATTTCTCACACAGTTGGCTATGGCAGTGACAAGTCTGAATCTTTAAGTCTGATCAGTCACAGCATCTGAAATACACATTATCAACTAAAATGAGGCAAGAAACTCACCTTACCCTCACTGTAAACTGCACAAAACACTCATTATGTAAATAACATAATAACATTTTTATTGAATTTTATTGAATTTTTAGCAGTGTGGACAGAAAACCTGGACAAAAATACTAATTAACATGTAAATATTGTCCTGGCCTCTCTACAGTTCATTTTCTGCAACATGTATCCAAGCCTTTGTGTCAGCATGCAGAATACACGTTGAGCCACCAATCTGATAACTGACCGGGAGACCAAATTCACTTCACGGAGCAGATGTGCTTCACCGACATGCCCCTAAATAAACAATCACATTCCAACATGTCCTACTGTTGTAGCCCTCCCAGAATATTCATTTCTGTCATTTT